CCCGGTTGATTACCGTGATTCCCCATAAACAAACAGGATGCAGCCAAGGGTCAAGTTGTGGGGGGGTAGTCGCGTGTTTTGACTCATAGACACAAGCCGGAAAGCTTGACTTTATATCTTCGCACACCCTGGATTCCAGTGTCAAGATGTGTAGAGTGGGTTTCAATCACAGCAGTTTAAAGACTGGGTGTTCCTTTTAGAAACACGTCGGCAAAGCACACATGGCAAAAGAATGTCCGACCAAACCCTGCCATGTTTGGTCTCAAATTGACGATGCCCTAAAACACATCTAACCCACATATAGGAACAATGAACAACACTATCAAGGGCATCGCTACTAGCAAGAAGCTACTATAACAAGGTGTAATGAGTCTTCAATCAACAACGCCATCAACCAAATCCCCTTTTTGGTGCTCCAAATGGGTCGTAACTGGCTGTGATCGAATGATCGAATGAGTGGCTCGTGCATGAAGGAAGGAGCCTGAGCTTGGAGGGCACTCCTCGTGGTTGGGAACAAAGTGAACGCCTTCCAACTTCTCTTGCTGCAGAGCCTCGGCGGCTCACGACGTCCTTCAAGGTGGGTGCTTCCAAAGGACATCAAATGCAAATCATACAATATACCTAGCACTTCCAATGGGTGCCCAATGGTGACCTATAAGCAGTGTAGGGTGGTCCATTGGTAACCCCTTGGAAGCAGCTGGTATATACTGGTTTTAGTATGGAACATATAAAGCATGCCTGTTCACTTGTTCACGCCTTCGGAATATCACCACCTGACAGCAACTGGTGTCCGAACGCAACATGTGTGGTATGCATCCGGAAGAGGTTAATGTGTACACCCGAAAGAGCAAACCTTTTTCCCGGTTCCGAGAGGTGGCAAACACCACCGTTCGGTCAGCGGAGTCTGCGAGGAGCCGTGAGTTGGCGGGCGAGCAAGTTGAAGACCTCCCGCGTGGTCATCAAAGCGTCGACGAAGCGAAGACGGGGAGAAGACCAAGTGACCAAAAGCGAACCGAAGATGTGACCAGTCAGAAATCACTGGGTCCAGTCCTGAGGTACTGCGATTGGAGAAAGACCACGTAAGTGACCATGCGAAACGACTTGACCATTCAAATCATATCAAGTATGACCGGGTCCACAGAATTCCGAGCTACGGTGATTGGAGACACCTTTTTTGAAGTTCGGAGGGTCCAGTCGTCCATGTAGGGTAGTGATGTCGATCGCTAGGGATGGAATACAGCAGTTTCATGAGTAGATGGCACAAGTGGGGCCCCCCAAGGTATCGGTGGTTTTGTCATGCAGGATGTACCTGGACCCTCTAGGACGGTCGATGAACATGCGGAGTGACAGGGCTTCGACTCGGGCGGAGCCGGGGATGGTCCAGGTAAGGAAACCGCGACTGGGAACTCTTGGCGGAGGAACAAGATTGGGGACCATTTGGAGACCCCAAAGCCTTGCTAGGTTGACCATGTCTAGTGAGTCTAGTGGTCTATTCGGTTCCTTTTCAGTGGTCAATCAAGCTAGCCTGGTTTTGACCTCATCACTCATGTTGGTGCTATCCTTTTCTTGCCACACAGACTCGGCAGTCGCACATCTTTTCCCTATTTCCCAGGGGTGCAACGGAGACGGCTGTGCCATCTGGCACGGCTCCTGCTCCTCTGCTCGTTCTGCCCTGGGCCACGAGATCGTTCTGCCTTGGGGCTGATGTTCTCGTTCTGCCGGATCATCTCCTGCTTTCTGCCCACGGTTCGCATGAAAAACTCCGAACTCTTCGCCGGTTTCTTCGAGAATTTGAGCTGAGAGGGAGGGTAGAACTCATCATCTCAGATTGAATGCAAAGATAGCCTAAGGGTTTTCTGGTTTTTATTATTGAAATTATGAAAGTACCGAATGCGGGACTGATTGCTGAAGAACCGGAACAAACTATACACTTACAGGACTTACACGCATTTCTCGCATTTCTGCTGGACACCAAACCCATGCAAAAAACCCTCTAATGAAACCGACCAAAAGCCACTGTAGTCATAGATGCTCACCCAATTCCACAGCAAGTTCTTCCAGCACTGTAGCGATGGGCATCCAAGTGATGCCAGGGATCGGGTGCCATATACAGTGGAAGACCACCTGGGAACATGGGATCGGGTGCCATATATGACATATATATATACATTCCCTGGAACTAACATGGTTACGTGGAGTGGAAAACCACCTGTTGGGTTAGTGGAAAAAACATGGTCTTCCGAACTCGGGGCCATGGCATCCACGTAACCATGTGAGTTCCAGGGAGTGTAGATATGACCTGTTCACAGTCATGTTCACCCGTCCATGTCGTCACCCAAAGGGCCATGCAAACAGCCACCGGGGCGTTTGGAAACGGCTGGACGCGGCAACGGCGGCCCCAACGGCCGCACGTCTCCACTGTCTGAGTCCAAACCAGGAAAAAGAACAACCCATGTTAGAGGAACATCCCATGTTAGACATGATTTTGGAGCGATGTCGATCCAAAGTAACATCTGGCTTGGAACGATTGAATATCCCAAGAAACCTCGCGGAAGAAAAACGGCAGGGAATGATTAATTTATGCCAAAAAAGGTGGCGAGTATTGGAGGTCCACCATCTGCCAAAGCAACAGTTGCATTGGTGTTGTTCCCCACTTTGGGGGGTGTCCTGAGTGCATTCCCTCTTTGGGGTCCGTTGTGTACAGACTTCCCACCAAAGTCATCCTAAAGTCCTAAGGATCATACTTATATAAATATATTACCTGTTATCACAATATTATCATTATCTATATATGTGTGATGTTGTTCACACCCAAATGGTTTTGCTTGGACCGGTGCCAACAACGCATTCAGAGGTTGCTTGGCTCCACTTCCAACGAAGCACACATCAGCGCCGTCCCCAGCGGGCGTCCCTCACCTTCACTTCCACGGACGACGTGCGGTTGTCCCGGGGGTCGGGTTTTCAGGTTCGCTTTGGACCACCGAGAGAGAACTCGATTCAACGTCGCCTGTGGAAAGTCTGGTAGCTTGGGCAGTGACTCGGAGAGTGACCTGATACCGTAAGAGTGACGTCTAAATCTTGTGAGCTGTCTGGCTTTTGCTGCGGACTGTGACAGTGACGTGCTGCGGAATTCCAGCATGGCATGCCCATCAGCATCATGTTGCATCAAGCGCCTGGTAGTTGCGGCTTGAATTGAGCCACAAGCGGCGTGAGGCGTGATGAAGGGTTGCCATCAGCATAAACTGAAAAAATGGAGATTTATGGAGCTGTTTTATAATGTTGGTAATCCAGGGATCCAAGTACCTTCGAAGGTGATGTGTTCGACACTGTTACGTAGCTTTGGAGGGTCCAGTCGTACCCTCTGAGGTTCGGTGCTTGCACTCACCAGGCCTGTCGTGGGTCCACAGCACCTTGACACTGAAACCAAGATCTTACGGGGCCAAGATCGCCCCCGCCGGTGGTTGGAAGAGTATGTGGGAATGTCCATGCTGTTCCGGTTGCATGTTGAAATGGCGAGTGCAAAAACACACAAGATATCAAGAGATGATTTTGAGGGCTGTCGGTTGTTGCAAAAGGGGGGTTGGGCAGGACTGGCAGGGCGCACCGTTTGGACTTTGGTGTTCTTCCGGAGGTCGGGTGCTCAACGGGGTGGCCACCGGCTCCGACCTCGGCTGATGAGACCTCGACCTCCATGGGCGCCCCGACGAAAAACCTCATCTGATCGACTCAAGAAGGCACTCCTTAAAGTACAACGACCAGTACTCAACCACTCATGTAGGACACCAGGAAAACACACACACACATGTAATTAGGAATATCTATATAAAGATACCAGTTGGGCACACACTTGCCCAAACTCGCAAATCGACCAACAAAACAACACACACCACATTTGCCATGTATTTGTCTTTTTGTTGATGCTACCTGCGCTAGGTAGTGCGGCAATCATTCCAGCGCGCGAATGAACCGCTGGCCAATGAATGGCCATGGCTCAAAGCCAGCCAGCATTCCCTCCGTCCCCATCTTTCAGTTTCTTCCACTGAGCTCAGCAAACTTCCGAGGCGCGTTTTACACATATGGAAGCATTGTCACTGGAAATGGAGTCCGGGATTTCAAGCGGGATTGCTTGTATACATGTCCCCTCCATGCAAACCGGTGGTGGTCTGGATATTGCTAGCAGACCTTCTAGATATATGGCCAAGATCTGCTGTGCATCACCGTGACTCCGAGTGACTTCCAAGACCCAATTCTGCTTTGTTGCTTGGCTGAAATCTGAGGGTCGATGATGCCCTAAAATGGCAGGCTGGATCTGGAGGGAGCGTCCCCATCCATTTTTAGGATCACCCAGTTTCTCCATGTGTTCCAAGAACCCGCTTGGAAGCGGAGATTTTCATCGGATCACGGGTCCCATCGTCGTGATCACGCTGTGGCAGGGAGCTCTTTTTTCTTTTTTTGCTCGACCTGCTATGACCTGCTTTTGCCCCGAACTGCTTGAGTCTGGATTTCATATAACTAATTGGCAAACCCCTTAGTACCAAATCAGCTCCTGGGGCCGCGGGCGAGATGATTTAACCACACAGAATCAGCTATAAATGGTATGATGTGGGTATATATAGTATACATATATAGAGAGAGAGAGGGGTCTTTGAGAGGTCTCCCTGTTTTTGATATATATATCTATCAAAAACAGGTAGACCTCTCAAAGACCCCTCTGGAAGAAGGAAAACGGATCCAATTCCCTTTGGTTGGGGTTCTCCATATAGAAACACCCAGTACCAGTAACAGTCGGTCAAAGATGATGAATTATGACTATTTTTTGGTGAAGGGCCTGCAACCAGGCCCCATCATGGTCTACTGGGTCCTGGCAATGGGATATACCGACCCAAAATACTACCTGGTTCCTATCTTCAACACGGCGGAAAAAAACGGGTGAGCACCCCCCCGAATGTAAGGTGATTATTCGGATTCTACATGCCCACTTAAGCTTAGGGCAGTTGATTCTTCGGATTCGGGACTGAAGGAATGCTCGTGGCTGGTCCGGCGACTTGGCGCTACGCTTCAGCCATGAAAAGCGCAGCGACTCATCAGCGACTGGTCCGCTGGGTCAGCTGTGAGTGGGATCCCATTCCTTGTTGGCCTGGCCCGGGCAGCCGCCGAGGGGAACAGTGGGGGGTCAGAGCACGACGCCGACTTCGGAAAACAGCAGACGGGAGGAAGTGATGGGGCTCCAGAAGACGAATTTAATCAATATTGGCGGCTCACAAATCAAGGGGTGGAGGATCAAAAGAAAAGCAAACAAGGATCAACAAATAAACCCAAAAGATCTAAAGAAAAATAAACAGGGATCATCAACAAAACAAAAACTGGCGATGTTACAGTAGAAGCAAGGGACAAACGATGATCAAAAAAAAAAACAAACAAGGATCTAAAAATACAGAGAAAGTAGCAGGTAGCAGGTAGGTAGGTAAGTAGGTAGGTAGGCCAGGTAGGTAGGTAGGTAGGTAGGGAGGCAGGCAGGCAGGCAGGCAGGCAGGCAGGCGGGCAGGTAGTAGTAGTAGTAGTAGTAGTAGTAGTAGTAGTCGTCTCTGCCAAGTATTGTTTCTGAAAGTGTTTTTTCTTGATCCCCAATTTGTTTTTTTTTGTTTGATCCCTCTCCCCTATTCAATGGACATTGTTTCTATAGGAGATCTCTTTTCAAAGGAGCTGAAGCAACTCTCCGCTTGGACACTTGGCTATCCTCACAACCAGCTTCACGACTCGGAGTCAAGTGAGTCAAAACCTGCATCGAGATGCAGGGAACCAATTGGCAAAGTGGGTTGATACCTCCCGCAACCTACCCCATGGACTGTTGACATGCCTGCTAGTCTTCTTCTGTTCATTTGGCTATGGGGTCATAGCACCTGGATCCCCTTTCACCAGGGTAGGTTGACCGACTAGTCAGGTCGTCCATTCTGTTCATGATCGAACTGGTCAACCAAGGTCCTCCGGTTTTGAACCATAGCCATTTAAGGGTGGTCCAAAAAGATCCTCCGGTCTGGACTCAGACCTGGAGGCACAACAGGTCACCATTGAAACAAACGCATGCCTAGGTCCCAAGCAAGAAGAAGTGGGCCGGGTGTAAGCCACTTGCCTAAGCAACCTGCAGGCAGGATGTTCCACACCTATATATCATACACGTTCATTACGCGCCGGTGGGAGGGGCCTTCCAAGTCTCGCCATCTGCGTAGATCTCTTTCTTCCAGATGGGAACTTTGGCCTCAACCGGTGGTGTCAGTATATAGGTCCTCATGTCTGGTCGGAACGATCCCAATGTGACAAAGGGGGTTGCCAAAAAAGATCTAACAAAGGAAGGGTTTGGATCTGATGTAGGCGGCCATGCTATCTTCTTTTGTATTCAGGCAGCGTTTCACTGCATGGTCGGCCACCCTGAAGAAACATCTAAAGGAAGCGATTGGCCACAAATTAAGCTCCTGAGAAGCAATTATTTACGACCCCTTGCATCAAAATGCCATGGGGCGTTGCACAACACTGGCGCTTTACGGGGTAATTATATGTGACCGACTGAAACCGAAATGGTTTTCAATGATGAGCCGGAACATTTTGCACTCTAATCCCCAGCGTATGGAGAACTACTTGGACTACGATCCTGTACCACTCGCTATTCGACTCTATTGTTTGCTGAAGAACAGGTTCAAATAACAGGGACATGGACAGATGGGAGGCCACAAAAATATCATGACATGCAATTGCTTCTTTGTGATAGGGTCTGGACTTGGCAGCACAAACCAAGACTACAAATATCCTTATCCACCGCAAGCCTCATGCACAAACTCTCAATGCGCCTTCGCACTTTAGGACCCCCTTTCTTCTTCAAAACATGCAAACATTCGCAAACATCCACCTCACATGCGCGGCATGTCCGACGTCCCATTTCCACAGGACCTCAGGATGTCCATACCGAATCCGTTTGAGAACGCAGGAACCTGCAACCGGAACCGACCTTCAAAGTGTCGATGATGTAGCGGCACGCCGCAAAGCCCTGGCGCTGACCGCGGGGGTCGAGGCGGTCCGCGGTCCGCTTCGGGTCTGCAAACCCCGAAGCTACTGACCCTCACTGAAAGCACGGGGCCGGGGAAGGCCACGCCAATTTGGAGGTGTTTCACTTCTTGAAACTCTAACGATCTAATACGATCTAATTGACTCATTTCTTGATACTCTAATCATCTAACTGTATAACTGCTTAAAACCCAAAAAAACATTGAAACAGGACCATGTCCGGACCCGAAACCGACCACTCTCGTCGTGGCCTCGGGGCGGTGCTCGCTGGCCACGGCGATGAGCACCGAGGCCTCCGCCAGGGGCACCACCTGAGACGAGGAACGGCGAACGGCCACGACGAGTTCAGTGGGGAAGCGCGAGGAACTCGGAGTCGACTTGGTTCGGTTGAGCAAACTTCACACAGAATTCATTCATTGAAGTCATGTCAACACCGGATTCATCCATTTCCCCTGGGGAGTCGGGGAGGTTTCTTAATTGTTTCAGTGCGCGTGATAGGTGTTCGATGGTTTCGTTGACTTGATCAATTGGAAGGGGAGAACTTGACTGGGCAAGTAGGGATGATGGGATCATAGAATGTTCGTGGTCTACAGTGCGGGTGTGCGTGTGTCTGGTAATATGCAATAAAAACACTTAGAAGGAAAGCGCAAGGGTAGGGCGGGTTGTCATTAGCTTGTCCAGGCCCTCCTTTTTTATGTTTTATTGTTTTACCGTTTACCTGAATTTCATCAATCAGTCGAGACCACTTCCATATAAATATGCAAAAAAACAAACAATAAATAAACACGATTCACAAAGAGTACGACATTGCACACCATAAATCTGAACAACAGCAGGTTGATATCAATCAATGTCAATATCGCAGTTCCTGAGAAACATGTAGAAACCATGTTGGGTACTGAACAAATTCATGGCACTCCTCCCTTTGATCCGCACCGGTGACGAATCCCGGTGAAATGAATGACCGTTCAGATCGGAGAATCAACAGAGTGAACCTCAAACACATCAGGAACCTCATATTTTTTCTGAAGACTCAGCGAGATCTTGTTCAGCAAACCAAATAATTGTGATTGAATCAAACTCCAGAAATGGATCCAGAACAAAGCACTTGTTTCAAACAGTCCTGGGTCAGCTTGCTCGGATTCAGCTTTTTGGGACTATGCATGGATCTGCTATGATTCCATCTCCGAGCCCTTCTCTAGCACAGAAAGGCCAAATCATTACTCAATTATTCCTTTGCGTTGGTCACTCACTTGTACAGTACACATCGAAAAAACATGAATTCATGAATCTGTCATTCCCATGTCGCACCGAGTCCACTGCAACAAGAAACTGTCCCACGTCTCACATGGAGCATTCACGAACATCCCCCCCCCCTGCTCCAGGAGTGTCGCATCCCCGTCATCCGCTGTCTGGACGTCCGCACGCCCAAGCGATGAGCACAAGCCACACGCCTGGATGGAAGTGATGGATCCCAAGGGAGATCGATGACCTGAACCCCAAACTGGATGGATGTTGGATGTTTTTTTGTCGATCTGCTGGAGAAAGACAGTCAAGACTCCAAAACTTCATCAAATGTCAATTTCCAACTTTCCAAATTTGCCCCAGAGAGAGGTGTCATCAATTTTGTCCGTTTCCCGGTTTCTCCTTTTACCTTTCAATTTTTCTCGACCGCTAGAACCACCGCCCCTGCTGGGCAGCAGCATGCAATTATGTGCATGGCTGCTTCGTGAGCATCTACTGCCCATATCAGACCAAGCGCTACAATCAAAATCGGCAGAACGATAGACTTCAAATAGAACCCATGTTCCAAGTCTGTACAAGCCACAAAAAGTAGCAATCCCGACACACATGCGTGGCAAAACGCTGGAGCCAAGGAGTGCATCTCAGTCATGATCATGCTGGTGTTGCTGAAGAGTCCAGCCTGGTAATGCCCATTTGTGAGGGCAACACCCCTGTGAAAAATGCGTGTAACAATCCTAAAGGACATCCATGTCACACTAGGCCAGTGCTGTTGAAAAACTGGTTTTCAACCTCACTGCAGGGCCATAAAGCAGGGAAGCAGAACTTGCCATCAAGGCATGGGAAGCGCTCGATTTGGATGCAGGACAGAGGTGGCACTGACTAGGCCATATGTGAAAGGTTCTTGCTTGCTCCAGGGTCGGATAAGTTCAGTCAGCCTCCACTGCTTTCAAGGGCGACACGGCAAAACCATTGGGTGATGGATCCAGCATCTTTGTCTGAACCAACCAAGCATGTCTCCCAGCCATGACGAACAAATCTGTCACCCCCGTTCCTACCAAACAGCTCCACGCGAAAGCCACCCTGCAAACGCAGCATCATACTGCTGAAGGCCAGAGGAGCAGCTCTGCAAAAGTGGCTTGCGCACTTGCGCGCCCCAGTCGGCATTCCCCCCTAACAAACAAGTGAACAACGTGCACGGCCCGATAATTCCACAGGTGCGTTGATATAGCATTTGTTGTCACGTCTAGCCAGCTTCAATGTTTTTAAAAGATCTTTTACGGCCAATGTTCAACATCCGTGTGCCCTTGATAGTCAGCTTCAATGTCAGCAATCTCTGGATCATCTGCACAGCCGATTGAGCATGGCTCGTTGCAAGCGCGTGAGAATCAATTTGGGCGATCCCGTTGTCACACAGTCTCGTCAGTAACAAGGACAGCTCGTGACTTCCTGGTGTCCTCAATGACAGGCCACTGCTGTGTCATCCGGAAGCTTCTCTGCAGAGTGCGAGGACAGGAAGTTCCATCCATGCTGATCAGTTAGTCAGGATCAGTCAGGCTCTCTGGATCAGCTCGCATTTTAGCAAAGAGGACCTGCCCATGGGTCTGTCCACCAATCCCGACTGCTTTTGCTCATGCCATTCGCACGAGGTCATCCGGAGTGTCGGCATAATGAAGGAAAGACCAGGAAAGAACGACCCGTCACTGCAGAAAGATGAAGAAATGCTGTGTGTGTGGGAGCACGGGGGCACATAAATTTAGAAGACAATATCAGACAATATCTATCAGGATTGCACGTGGGCACGGATCTGCTCACGTCGAAGGACGGGACAACGCACGGAAGACGTGTGCCTGGTGCCTGAGCATGCATTCGAAGGGACGAGAGCTGATGGGTTTGATGGCGGCCTGGTGTCAAAGCTATAGCGCACGCCCTACGATAGATATGGCCCTCAACCACTTTATAAATCACTAAAGTTTTTCTTTCAAGCGCAGTTATGGTGCCCGGCAGGGCGTCCTGCAACGGTTGGGACAGTGCTTCAGTTTCACTGTCACAAGGTTATTGGAGGTGCCAATGCGCCATTCCTTGCCTTGGCAGATTCCCTGTTTAATTCGGGACAGGTCAGTGCCCTGAGAGGAGGCTGCTTCGATTTCTCTTTCAAGATGTCATCGACAGCCTGCGGAAGGGTGCCATTGCAGGACACTCTTTTCGCATTTATAGGAACATATCTTTACGAAACAAAAGGTTCTTGAAAACACAGTTTTGCAGTCTCAAACTAAACAAGGCAGAAATGGGCCTTCCCGTGCTTCTCGTGGACGTTCGTCAGCTGCGAGGTCAGGTCCTTGTTCTTCGAGGTCAGGTCCTTGTTCTGAGAGGTGAGGTCTGTCAGCTCCTTATCCTTCAGCTGGACTGCTGCCTCCAAGGCCTCTTTCTCGGTCTTCAAAATCCTCGCCTTCTCGTTCAACTCCCTTCAAGTATATGAGCTTCCATCTCAAGGAACGAAAACTGAGTTGTGCAGCAGTAACGCATCTCTTGAATGTGCCAATGTCCCAAGCACGCTAGCCAATGATTTCCCCGCAGTATGCAGTTTTAGTCAGTAGTGGAAAGGCCTCTGTTTGGTCTCGCAAGGACAGTGGAAAGACCGCAACACGTCTAGACATGTTGACTTGAAAACCAAAACGTTTGGAAGATACAAAGCACTTGAAGATGTTATCATCAGCATACATGAGAACATGACCAGTGGCTAGTCAAGCACTCGCGAAGTGCTGCAGCAGGTCACGCAAAACAAGATGCATGCGCTGTCCACGTAAGTGGTGCGTCCTTCGAGCCTTGCTTGATTCCTGTGGTGGCCTTGATGCGACTTATCGAGATCAAGGAGCCTCAAATCAGGTTGTTGTACTAATGCACGGCTCACAGCATCGAAGGCTTTCTCCAGGTCTAGTAGGCTTTCCCCTTGAGCTCCAGGCCCAAGTGTTCCCTGCCGGACCTCAACCACAGCACACAACCACAACCGCAATCACAAACACAATCATACCACCACAAACACAATCACAACAGACACACAACCACAGACACACAACCACAACCACACAACCACAAACACACAACCACAAACACACAACCACAAACACACAACCACAAACACACAACCATAAACACACAACCACAAACACACAACCACAAACGCAGCACCACAAACAACAAAACACAAACACACAACCACAAACACACAGCCACAAACACACAACCACAAAAACACAACCACAAACAAACCCACAAACACAACCACACAACCACAAACACACAACCACAAACAAACCCACAAACACAACCACACAACCACAAACACACAACCACAAACAAACCCACAAACACAACCACACAACCACAAACACACAACCACAAACAAACCCACAAACACAACCACACAACCACAAACACACAACCACAAACAAACCCACAAACACAACCACACAACCACAAACACACAACCACAAACAAACCCACAAACACAACCACACAACCACAAACACACAACCACAAACAAACCCACAAACACAACCACACAACCACAAACACACAACCACAAACAAACCCACAAACACAACCACACAATCACAAACACAAGCACACAGCCACAAACACACAACCACAAGCACAACCACAAATTTACAACCACAAACACACAGCCACAAACACACAATCACAAACACAACCACAACACACAATCACAAACACACAGCCACAAACACACAACCACAACCACAACACACAACCGCAGCACACAACCCGAGGACCCACAAGCAAAATCGAAAACTACAATACTCACGACTCACGACCATGGCAACATGCTCCTCACTATGGCATCAAGACAAATGATTGAAATGTCATGGTGGGGATTACTCGAAGTAAAGTATGTTTTTCTTTTATAAAGTAGGTTCCAAAAACAACCGTAACTGCCCATCACCTTTCGAAAGCTTTAGTTGTTAGTCTAATGAAGAATCATAATTCTAATAAAGGTTTGTGTAGATGAAAAGCGTGAAAAGGAAAACCCTTCGATCTGGAGGTCTTTTTTTTGATACGAGTTGAATAAATGATGTTTTTAAAAAACACCTGGATGACTTTTTGGTTTTGAAGCTCTTCCCAGGTGACCCTATTTTGGACCCCCCGATTTCAGGGACCCCCTATTAAAACATAATGCGACCGAGTTTCTCTTGATAGGGGGCCATGTTTTTTTAAAGGTGGACAGGATTAGTGCAAACATATACCGACAAATACGTCTCTGGACATAACGTTGGCAGGCCTGTCATTGCCTCCTTACCCTTTTGAATGAAAGTTGGTTCCAACAAACCCTTAAATGAATCTTCACCAACAGTTTATGGGAATGGAATAGAAGCAACTCAATGTTGGATCCTTGCCCAAAGCTACAAGCATCTTCCAAACATTTCTATACAAAAAAACCACCCACATCTGCACCTTCTTGTACTTCCTAATGAAGGCGACGCAGATCTTCCAGCATCCCACCACCTCAATGAAAAACCTCCCCAACACCGCCCATGTCGCCGTGCTTCGGCGCCTTACGCCCTTGCCGCAGGCGCCCTCCAGGACCTCTTGCAGAATCCGATCCATCTCCTGCGGCTCTGAACCGCGAGCTGGACATTTTCGGGCGGACTGAGGGCCTAAACACACCTCCGAAAGCCATATGAAACCAGGTTGAGAAGCATCTTGGTATGTATACAACATTGGTTTGCCCCCCCAGATCTTCAAAGATTCGCACTTGAATCTGGAGGGGTCATCAGCAATGTTGGACATAGTGGGGACACAGCCAAGATGATCTTCAAGCTTCAAGATTCGACCAAGAATCGGTTGGCGATGTTGTACTATCAGTGTAGCAAGCGATGAGGCTATCTCGGACCCATTGTTTTCAATGAACTATAAACGCTACCAAATGAACTCCTTGAGAAACCTGTGCCCAACTGCTCAAAGCGATCAAATGGCAAGAAACTCAAAGGGAACCAACTGGCTTGACAGTCCAAAAAACAAAACAAAACAAACACACATCAAATAATAAACAAAACAGAAACCATATAACACATATAACATACATTAACAGTCATTAACATACTATATATTAGATATTGTTAACACTTAGACATCTTTTTCTACCTCCCAAAAAAGACACTATACGTCCTCTTCCTTTGTTCTGACCAACTCACTTGGCAGCCTAGTCAGTGATTTCCGGTCTGCCCATCCAGTTTCTGCCCAACTCCACTCACTCCTTCAAGGCCATTGGCTCGTAGGCCTCATACTCCAAGCGGAGTACCTACTCCGCGGGTGGGGTATTGGGTTGACAGCATGACTCTTGGGTCGGTTAGACGCTGACGGACATGTGTGACATGGCGGTCGTCTTGGGCGGGTTCCAAGGCATCTGATGTGGACATGTTACGGGATTTTTGCGAGGTTGTGGACTTCTGACATGTGGTGTGGTGTGAGCAGGTTGCCCGCATCCATCTTGCCCAATACTCGTAAATTGAAACTCTGGAGACCTAGCGTCCAAGTGTCCTAAGCAAACAGTTCTCAATGCTGCGATCTTTCTTGTTGTGAGTGTATCGACCAGGATCATTGGTTCAGAAAATAAAAACAAGTCTGCCAAAATCACGTCGACCAGGATCTTGATGTTTCAGAACTTCTGACCAGAACATCTGCTGGCGGCTTGATATCTTTGGAATCTAACATAAAACATGACAATCCCATCTTGACGCTGCCACCCTGGAATTTGAAGGGTTATAGAATTAATAGATGTCCCCTCAGACCCCTTGGCTCAAATCCCAAAGGCTGCTTTTGTTTTCCATATCTTCACCAGCATTTGGGAAATTGGGAAACGGTTGAAGGCAGGAGTGCTCTCGCTCAGTCGCTCAGATTCTCCTACAAGGCTGCCGTGCTAAGTTGCTCAGTCATGCTGGATGTCCATGATTCTGTTGTCAACAAACAACCCTGGATGCTTCAGGTGCACCCCTTGTCGACAAGCCCCATGATTCAGTTTGCCAGTTCTGACTCGAAAAAAGAGTCTTTGGAGGCAACGAAGGCAGCTCCTCCCACCAACCCACCAACCAACCAACCCAACCCACCCACCAACCCACCAACCCACCAGTGTTCAGGTGTTGTCTCCGTCCGGCACGCGAGACGGGAATTCCTTCGAAGACGAGGTCGGTGGAGTTTCTATCTTTTTCATGGCGACAGCACGCAACACACGCCATGTCTATCTATTCCAGAACTTACATACTAAACCATTTCGATATCCATTTCCAGAACTTATCTATCTATTCCAGAACTATACACCCGTTTCTGTCTAATTATTTGTCAAAATTTGTTGAACGAATCTGGAGTGATCTTGCTGGATGCAACGCCCCATCATCCATACTGAAAACTGATAGCAGCCTTCTTGCCCTCGAAGTTGTCACGGGTCGTGCCTGACAGCAGGGTGGGTCTCTGAGATGTTTTCATCCGCATGGTTTGCTCTTGACCAAAGCATCGGAAACAGAAGATTGACCAATTGGTGGACCCCTTCAATAAACTTGCCAAAGGCTTTGGCAAGTTTACTGACCTCTTGCTAGTGGGATGCAAAAGCTTGCAGGTTGACATAACTGCCCTAGGGCTCCAAGTGCCTCCAAAACGAAGGTCTTGGGACCCTCCAAGCTCACCCCAGTCCAACTTCTCAGATGGAGCAGGGCTGTGGACTTGAACGGTATTAGTCACCGTTCTTAAAGCCGGCTCTCCCCTGCCTACTTCATTGGCCCAGTAGGCGCTTACTTAATTGAGTCAGGGAGAGGTAGCTAGTGCATGAAGCTGCTAGTATGGAAGCACGATAGCTCACGCACTATTCATTTGTAGATTTTAAGGGACATTGAATCCAATGGCCTTGCACCAATAGCCAGGTTCTATGGCCGAAATCTAGTGACATGACAGAAAGTTCGTGCTGAACAAACCCTGCTGGGCCTGAGAAGGTGGTAATGGCGCCGCAGGCAGGGTCAGAGACCTGCGCAGGCATGATCACGTCGCGTCTGCACCACGTCTGCAGACTCCGAGCTGCAGACCCCCAGGGACTGCAGGAACTTCCTTCGTTTGCTTGGACATGCACTCATGCTGGCACTTGCGGACCCCCTGCCATGGAAAGTCGTGGACAAAACTTGTTCAGCCACCACGAAAGAAGGACAGGTCAGCAAAAATCGGACCTCATTGCCCCTCAAAAGGACACAGCAATGGTTTTCAGACAACAGTACCCCTTGACCAGACCCGGAAAGGGACACAGATGGAAACAGTATAAGACTCATAAGACTCGCCGGGTGGTACCTCCACGAGTCAGTGCAACAACAATCTTCGAATGGGTTCTCCTGTTTTCGGGATCTCTCGGGCCCCCAGCGTCGGAACCGATGAACGGCGTCGGTTCCGGGGCTTCCAAGTGGTTTGACTCAAATGACGACTGAAGTATCACAGAGACAACAGGCGCACAGGGCGCCAAAACATGGTAGAGGTGGGAAAAGCACGACCAACACAATAACAGCATAACAGCATGAGCAATTTCATGGTTCTGGGCACCTAAAATCCGTCTTCCAGGAATTCCAGGGTAACCTTCTCACCGCAGTGATCCGAAGAAAAGATCACTGCAGCGACTTCCAGACTTGAGAAAAGGGCCCGGAACCACTCTCCGTCCTGACACCGTCGGTTTGTCGCCACAGTGGCTCCGCCCGAACCCGGAGGGAACCGGCGTCCGGTTTGGGGCGGGCCGTTTGGGATGGAGATCGGACGCCAAGCTGTCCCTGCGATCGTCGGTCGTGTGTGTTGGCGGTGAGGGAGACCCACAACCCCTGGCTGGGCAGACGGGTCTATTTCACGCCTGGGTGTAAATCTCCCTATTTCAGCTACACACCCCAGGTCCTCGTGGTCCCCAAATTGGTCGTCTCGTCGGCGTTTAGTCACAATGAGATCTCTTATCGGTTCCCAAACCAAACCAATGAGGTTCATGGTTTTCTCATGTTTTCTCCGTGTTCTTCGAACCTCAAGGTTCAATTTGCAACAATGCTGTCACAAAACTAATGTGTTTGGAGCTTCTTCTTCATTCCAACAAACACTGAACCGGCCAAACCTGTAACTTTAAACCATGCCCCAGTTTAAGGACTATCTGATCAAATACTTGGGACACTTAGATTTATATTATAGATTTGCCACAGTCAAACGATCAGGGACAAATCCACTGAGATCCACCACCCGACACTCGTTTTTTTTGATAGAGTCCACCGGTGCTGTCGACACTGAATCACCTTCCAGGATGCGTCTCCCTCTTTTTCCAAGGAGAATCGTCCCCATACTGTCGCACCCATCAAACGCACACGCACACCGCTTCACCCGGATTCCCGCACCATCTTCATCAGCTCGTCGAGGCTCAGGGGATCATGGCTGATGAAGACCCACTTCCGTTCGCCTCGGCTGAAACTGATCGGTCTGGACAGAGACCTATACCTTGGTCGGTGAGGTGATACACCGATTTACCATTTCATCGAGGGTTCCTGCGGAATGTTTTTTCATTACGACCCCAAACTTTCTTGCTTTGATACTCCGAGTCATTAACTATGAAAGTGGAAAGCCACCAGTTTGTAGTTTGTAGAGGAGAATTGTCTTCCAGGGGCCTACTTTCAGATAAAAATGGTCTTCCAGGGGCCTAGCCTATGCCATCCACGTTGGCCCATGATTCTTTCAGGGAGTGCCTTGATGGCCAAACCGGAAGGTGGATCCTAGGGGCATCAAGCTGTACCCCACCTTCCTGCACATGTACGAAGAGATGGACCCTTCAAACAAACCATCTTCATTCGCAAACCACCAAAATCATCACATCGAGTTCAAGTCCCCAGTGCGAGGATGATCCTCCACTTCACCAACGTCTCCTTTGGCGCTTTGGCGCTACTTCTGACCCCTTTGAGCGCGAGCGCACAGACCGTGTAGAGTGTAGACCTGTGAGAAGCTTGGATTTGCTTTCGAACCGGGACAAACAACAACATCCCAGAAGGGGATTCACCGTGATTCACCGGGAAAATAGAAACATCCTCCGAAGCAGCTCACCAGGGAGGCTGCGGGGAGGCTTGACGATCCTGGACGATCGATGGAGATCAAACCTGACGATGTGGTGCGCACGGCACTGGCAGGGAAACGATCGACGGAGTACAACTGTCGTTACATATATATGCGTCCCCAGATTAGCGTGGCACCTCCCACAAAAAACCAGTCACAGCTACAAACAGTTACAGATTTTACGATAAAAAACGCATGAAAAGACGGCTCCAATTCGTCTACCGAGCATCCCTCGATCTCAGCATCTGCCTCCGCGCTCACTTGACCACCCATGGCGCTGTTTCGCACCCGCGCCAAGGCGCAGGATCACGGCGGGGTCACGTAACGGGGGAAATTCCTGTGGGTTTTCCACCAATGTTTCCACCTACTTAGTAGGGGAGTTGATGCAAATCTTACTCTATATGTTGGCATGCTCTAAACTCTAAATGCACTTGTTCGTTCTTGACGCATCTGTTTTTTGTCGTTAATTACTGATGTCCTCAGCCTACTGCTCGGATTGCTTTCCATTCTTTTGCCAGTAAGCTATCATGACAGCGGGTTTCTATAGTACAAATTTCTTGTTTGATCTGTCACTTGGCATGAACATCAATCACAATTCGGTCGTCAGACTGTAAAAGCTGCAGATGTTAGATCCGCCAGCGCTCGTGCGCTGCAGTGCCAGAGCTGACCATTCGATCCGATGGGACTGGCGCCGGTTTCGCCGGTACACAGATCTGGTCGTTGCGACAGAGGCCGCTCAGGCAAACCGACAAGAATATGTATTCTCCACACGACACCGGAACCAAAGGGTGTTCACTCTTCCAAGTGCCAGGTTGCAGAGTCCTCTTTGTTGGAGTAGAGCATGGGATCCAAATCTCGCCACCAAAAAGCTCAAACATGCTCAACCTCACCCAGACGATTCATGGGACTGGCCTATTTGCCTTCATTTTGGGGTGGTTTCAGCGGTCAATGTAGGCATCTATTCCATACATGAGCGGTCAATGTAGGCATCTATTCCGTACATGAGCGGTCAATGTAGGCATCTATTCCGTACATGGATACTCTGGATCATATGGTGCAATATATCCCCACATCGCATGGCCCCCAAGGAAGCCCTTCGGTGACCAATGCCATGGGCGTTGGAACGGGCAAGCGGACTGCCGCCATTGACCGGCTTGTTTCTCCCGTCAAGCTGCGACATTCGCATGTGTCCAGCGGCAAAAGGAAACAGATCACCCCTCACATTAAGTGCCTTGACTTCTTGGTAGGTAAACCATCCAGAATCAATCCAAAATAGTGGTTTCCGTGCATTTACTGCCATTCTTGTTGGTGGAATGGTAGTGGCTCTTGAGAGAAATCACACGTCCATAAGCGAGTACTCTGTATGCAAAGGCGATTGCGGAAGCCCCCAGGCTACTACATCATTCAGGTCGAACACCGCTCTGCTGAAAGGTCAAAGAAAAGTCACATTGAGTGAGGCTTTGGGCATCTTTGGGCCAAAGAAAGTATGACCAGTAGTACCAGCCCATGTCGGGGTCACCTGGAAGCCCCAGCCCACTACTAAGAGACCTCCAGCCAGGACACCCCGAAAGAAGGTCCAGGTATGCTGTAGTATAGATCAAGTACTTCACATGGCCCAGCAAAAACTGCCCACGCTTCGATGCGTCTCTCGCTTCGGGCGCAGGTCCGGCGCGCAGGGCGACGGCGATTTCGCGTCGCCGCTGGAACCACCACTGGTCATCTACCCTTCACTATCACGGCAAATCGACTGGTAAATGGCTTGGTACACCACTGGCATACGGATACCTGTGTGGATGAGAAGAACGCGCAGGGCGCAGCAGCCGGACCAATTTTTTCCAAGGGGGTGCGTCCAGACTCCGGACAAGGTCCGAGTCGAGCTACAGGCCGTTCACGGGCCGAGGCGTTTTTTTGTGGCAAAAAGAGGGTTCCGAATCCGAGTCTTCAAAAGGCTTCTTATTCAGGGAGTGAACTGGGAGCTTTCGTTAGCAAGCTGGTAGATTAGGACTCCTGATGATCACTTTGAGTCGTGGGCTGATTGGGCCAGACTGACCTGAGTCAGGTTCCCACCTGACCTGGAAACACGAATCTCGGAGGGGTCCAGGTAGAAAAAAGGAACAATCCTCTTCCATGCATTGGCTGGGGATATGAGCTCATATCCCATCATGTTTTCTTCGGTGGCTCGGCCCTTCTGAACGAGAAGCCGTGTTGTGGCTTCCCCTCACTGACGTGACTCGGGCATCCTTGGACCTCCAGGTGCGGGAAGACCTCCTCAAAAAGAGGTCCGGCACGGACTGGGTTTCAACGGATGAACATGGATGAACATGGGTTTGGAAGAGGGAGACCCTTCAATCGATTCCCTGGGAGAGGGCAAACAATTAACACCAACCAGTGAGGGCGATGTTGTTAGAAACACACACACGCAAACACACACACACACACATGCCATGCGAATGTGAGGAACATGCGATATACATGCGTGAATTTGCCTGGTGATGCAACCCAAACAAAGGCAGCATCTGACTGCTGAGTGCCTTCCTTCTAGGGTTTCTTCCATCTACAGCGCACAGACTATATATTCTCTTGACCCAAAAGCACGGGGTAGGAAAAGATCTGCAAATAATTGGAGTATCGTCTATTCAGCCAAGGAGAAAAGGCTTCATCCGATTTCTTCACAAGAACCACTACAATCAAGCGAAAGAGACCCATTATAGGCCTCAGGTTCAAATATAGCTCATGGGACGTGACTGATTGCGTTTGAACATCAGTAGTGCTCAAAAAGGAGAGTGCCCTTCTGGAGCAATTTGAAACACCAGCCCTTCCGCAAATAGAAAAGTTAGCTCTGTTGCTATTAGGCTATTGAAGCCGAATTAATGACGACATATTGGATAAACAACTTCTGTTGTATTTTGGAGATTGCAACAAGAGATTGTGAGGGTCTGCTCAAAAAAAGCTCTTGTTTTTCTCTTATAATTGGGATTATGTCTTGCCCATCAACGGTCGCCCCTTCGTGCTCACATCTTCTTCATAGCCAATGTGTATGTGTGTGTGTCAAACTTGCTTAGCTCCATAGCGATTCAACAGCAAAAACAGTTCATATCGACAAATCTTAAATGGTTCGCTGAGGTACCCTGAGCTCTTGCTGCCCTGTTGGGGGGGGATTCGCAGCCTTAAAATCCGGGTCAGGTCCAAGGATGTCGGTACTCTTCTGACTTTGAAAAGAGTGGCACTGCCATGTGAGCTTTCGATTCACTGGCCAGGTTCGAATACATTCCAATATACAAGTGTAACCACTGGGGGATCTGCAAACCAAGCTAAGTGAACTTCATTGGTCACAGCTGGAAAGAAACTAATCAAACACATAGAGCGTCAAACTTAAACTGATCTTGTGGGGAGGAACTGAAAGTCTTGTATTCAGGAGTGTAGTAAAATGTGGTATATAAATATGACCAGCTTGGATTCACCTCAAAAGATCTTGCAATAGAACAAACACATCTCCTATCGTTTCCTGTGGTCCCATAGCCTATGCAGCTGCTGTGTAGCACAAACCGCCAACCAATCGAAGAAGAGGCCAAAACAAATGACCGCCCTGACACATCCCGATACTCAATGCTTCCCAAACGTTCCATCCGTTTCGCCTATGAACACCATCTTCACTCCGATCCGAAAGAGGGCTACCATCCAAGACAATGGATCGGCAGTGCCACGCGTAATGCGGGCGACAAAGCGCCATATACACAGGATTCACGAGCTTCCGAGCAAGAACAAAAGACATGACACACACACACACACATGTGGTGCTTGATCTTCTTTGTCTTCCCCAGGAAGGGTCTGTCGAAGCTGTCTAAGACCTTTACATCAACTCTCATTAGACTTTTTTGCGACTTGCCCTTTGATAGCCACAATTAGCACATAATCCCTGGATTATCCTAAACTAGTCTACATTAAATTGTATTGATATGTCGTTTTCTTGTGGTTTTGAACGGTTTTGGGTCTATAACTAGTATGATTCCAAGTGCTCCCCACCAAGCAGCTGGGTTTGAAGAGTGTTGTTATTCCTGCATACACCCGACAAATTCTCCTTCTTTTTCAGGACAGGCCCCCCCAACGGCCTTGCCCGCTCTGTCAGGAAGCTTGCGACTTTCTTACGCAAAGGTATGGCAGGGAGTCCAAATTCGCTGAACCTGGTTCCCCAACGACACTGAACCACCGGACATAGATTGAACATCCCAAGAAGGGCCAAGGAAACACAGCGGTGTTCGTTGAGGTATCCGCCAGCGGTGTTCGCTGGACTCCCAGCGTCTGATGCTTGCAGCAAACTCATGCAAGTTCAGGTAAGAAACGCTTGTGGTAGCCAACGCCAACAATTGAATCACAGATTTGCAGTGCAGTTCTTTTTTTGTATTGTGCAGGGGTCACTGGGTCACTACTTCTATAACTATACATCAAAAGCTTTTCAGATCTGCACGGTCTCTAGTGGACTTATAGAATTTCAGCTTGATGTGGGCTGATGATGATATTCAAAACCATAACATTCACAAAAACAACGTGCAATCAGGACCCTCCGCATTGTTCTAGCTTGACTTATCGGACCTGTCTGAAACGGGTGCTGTTCGAAGCTCTACGTATGCTTCAAGGGTTCAACTCGGTTCAACTGCTTGGTGGCTGCTTCAGCGAGGGATGATCTTTTCCATAGAGTTCATAGGATGGTGTCCGGTTTCCACAAGAACTCGGATGACCTTGATTGACATGATGACCTTGAAGTGATATTGTGGACCCTTATAATGCTTCTCCATGATCATTGTTGTCACCAGGGCATTCCAGGAAAGGATTTCTCATTCAAAAACCTTCGCCTTCGATCATGCAGAATTTACATCCAAATCATCGACTAGATGAAGGGCTGTTCCACTGTTTCTTCCTTTCAGAACATAAAGTTGAACCATAGCAATCCAGGAGATAACGCTCTCACTGCTCACCTACTACAAAGCGTCTTCGCAAACCACACAAGCGAGGCAGTAGCGCAAAAGCAGCGTAAATAGGTAATTCGATCGCACCGCGGTGCAAGACGCTCTTGTTCAACCGGCACTCGGTCCATTCACCAAAAGGAAATTGCATGTTATCTATCCTTTTGATTGGGGTTTGGGGACAACATCGACTCAGATGAAATGCCTCCATATTCCAAACAATGAGACAGTCCTAGGCAGATTTCAGACGGGGTCACCATGGGCCCCGCGCTTAAGAATTTAACTGAAGGGAGCAAGAGCCGCTTCTTTTGCCCCCCATCACCCGTCGTGGGCTTTTTCCTCCTACTTTCATCTATTTCTCTGCATTAGCATTGTAGTT